CTCACTCTTCGCGCCCCTGTCATACCCCCATCAGCACCAATACGCGCACTCGTGTAGATCCCGGCCCGAATAGTGCCACTAGCTTCGCGGTCGAAAGGTACTTTATTCGGCCAGGTAAATGTGAGGCATGCCTTCAATATGACAAGAGGGACGAGCAACGATCGATCCTTAATCGACACAGACGGAAACTAACAGTACCCCAGAACCCTGTCTGGTTGCCTCCAATTATTCCGTCTGGTCTCCAATTTTCTATCACATATGGTTAATTCCAGGATATCATTCTTTCCATAGCCAATCTCTTCCAGTAACCACCTATAATGTAGGTGACCGGGTATCACCGATCGCTACCGGTCTAAGCAAGGCTAAGCAGTTATTCGATCCTGACCTAACAGGGTAAAAGGTAATAAGGTAGGCAAGGATAGTAATAAATGCATCAACGGTTTCAATCAACTCCTACAACTTAATGTAACAATATATAAACTCATATATATAGAAGGAATTGCTTTTATAAAGTAGGAGACTTAGAATGCTCTGGGGCTTGCCTCGTTCGAACGAACTAGGTTGGTGATCCACGCACTCCGGTAAGTCCTCTCCTTGCTCCTCTTCCTCTGGCACCTCCGGTGCCTGGACTTCTTGTAGATCTGTCCCGGTCTGCTCTTTCTGAACTGCTACTAGCAACTCCTCCTGCGATCCTGTATGATGCAGATGTATAAGTGCTAATGCATAGGTGCATCGGAGAGATGACATGTAATGATCATGATGCATGAAATGTAGATGACCATGTTTAACTTTATTGAACATAGTAGTAGCAAAGCTCGTCTACAAGGTAGTCGACATCATCTAAGAACATGTACTACTATCTACTACGACAACCATTGTACTAACATGTTAAATCACCACAGCAAGTTAAGATGCTTCAAAGATACACCAAAGCAAACATTATTAACTAAACATGCATTAAAGAAGATTATTTTATTTCATTTTAAACTAGGGCTACATAGCAACATATATTTCTAGTGCTCATAAAAATCTGAGAAAATTACACTAGCATAGTACTACTCTAAGTAGATTGCCATAAAATTTTCATGGCATTTGGATAAGTAAAATAGCCTACACAAAAATGACAAGCTATGGTTGATAATTAAGCATGAAAATACTTTGTACTATGAAAAGTGTCAAACAACAAATTTGGTATTTTTCCTATGTTCTACACAGTAAACAATCACTGTACAAAAATTATCATACACATGTTTTATACAATTTTTGCTCTCTATCAAAATAACAAAAATCATCAATTAAAGGCACTTGAACTACACATCAATATTTCTCTACAGAACATGCATGACATATATTTTTCCTACAAAGTACATCACTAAAGGAGATTAACAAAACTAGAACCATATTTTTCTGATGTATATTCTATTTACTAGACATTTTCTAAGAAATCAGCATTTATTCAATTTAAATAAAGCTACACAGAAAAGTATCACAAATTTGACATGCAATATTTTTAACAGATAGATCTAGTCACAAGAAACCTAGCAAAACTTGTTTCAACAAATTTGGAGCCATTTTGAGTGGGTTATAATTTTCCAAAGCCTTTAAATAGAAATCTGAAAATCATTTCTTAATTTCTTTTCTGAAAATCTCGGTTCAAAAATGCTAGATCCACCCAGATCTCTACCCAGGCTTGCACCCCAGTGGCTGATAGTGGGCCCCTAGCCCACCGGTCAGTCACTAAGGCAGGGGAGGCGCTCGGCCACGGCGGTTCTCGCCGCCGGTGAACCTGCCGGCGGTGAGGTCACCACCGGAGGCTTCCCTGAGACAAGGCGGACCTAACGGTACCCCTACCGCGGCCAGTGGAGCTTGGGAGCAAGCTCACCGGCGTCCATGGTGGCGCGGTGGTGCGGCTCAACGTCGGTCGGCCAGCTCCGGCCGAGAGGTGGCGCGGGGAGTGGCTTGAGAGCTGCCCCGTGTTCGTGCGGTGCTCGTGCGCGCAAAAGGAGGCGAGAAGGAGGACGGAGGGGCGAGGTCCACGGAGCGACGCATCTCCGATGAACTGGACCTAGCTCCGGTGAGCGATTACCGGCGACTCAATGCTTACCACGGTGATAATGTGCTAGCACGAGATGCACGAGGTGGAGGAGGAGCTCAGGGCTAGATGGGGCGATCGACGGCGAGCTGGAGCGGTCGGAACGGCCAACTTCGGCGAGGCGCTGGTGCGGGCGGTGGCGGCGGCGAAGGCTGGCTTCTTCGCTTGCTTCGAGCGAGCGAGAAGGCAAATGAGATGGAGGAGAGGAGGCGAGCGTGGCGCGGCGGGTGTAGGCGCAACAGAGGGCCTTGGGGCCATCGGTGTTCACGCAGTGAGCGGCGACGACGGCAGACGGACACGCTCCCGTCGAGCTCTGCTGGGTGGTCGTAGCTGGCGTGTGCGCAAGCACGGGGGAGCGGACAGCGTGAGGCGCGGAGGCAGGCAGGCCGGCCTGTCTTCTTGGGCGAAAAAAGGAAGCGTGACCCGCTAAGGAAAATAAAATGATTTTTCTTTTTATTTCTTAATAAACAGAACTAAAATTCCATTTTGAGCCATTTTAAAAGCATTTTCACAAGTTGGTGTAAAAATAAAAGTTGTTCGAAAAAAAGTACTCTACAACTTTGCCAAAAGAGTAAGGCCAAAATCCAATTAGATTTTGAACTATAGATTGAAAGTTAATTTAAATCAAAAACCCGATTTCGTAAGGTTATTTTAAAAGCAAAATTTGAGAAAACTTTGAATAAACACCTTGCTCCAAATTGCATCTTAGCTACTTCTAATTGGTCTAAGTGATCAACCAAGGTACACACATGGCAAAACAAACATAGCATCCAATCTATCAAAACAAAACTATGCAACATACATGTTTCAATAGTATGCTTTCATTCTATATTTCATGTCATGCGTATGCATGCAAATTAATGATTATGCTCATGATTTGCAAAATGCTAATGCATGCTTAACACCGAGGTGTTACAGATTGGAGGCGGGGATGGTGGAGGTCTAAGCACCACACTTCGTCTGGGACTCAGAAGTGGGGGCTTGGAGTCCAAGTTTGGACAGGGCCTAGACCCCTTGACAGGAGAGTGGTGGGTTAGTCTTGCTTGTGTCTGTGGTACAAGTGGGGTGTGTGTTTCGGGATATCCAGCTGGGATACATTGGTTCACGAATTGCCATGTGATACGGTACGTCTTGGCTATGATCTAGCACCGTAGTAAGAACTGAAAGATGAAAGTGCGTGAATGGATATGATTGCTCAACTCTTGCTTGAGAGTAGAATATGTGCTTACATAGAATGGTTAGCTAATAAACTAATCATGATTGCTAATAAAACACATGCATAAGGATTCACTACTAGTAATGTTTTTCGCAAAGAAAAAGAAAACCCAACAAACCTTAAAGCTTATCATATCATTGGAGTCGGGAAATTATTCCCACTAGTCGGGTAAGTCTTGCGAGTACATTGTATACTCAGGGTTTATTTCCCCCTGTTGCAGGTGCAGCTTGAGGAGTGGCTGTTGTGTGGAGGATTCTTTTGGTGGGCACCGACGAATCCTTGTATCTTATCGTTAGATGTTTATTTCAATTCCGCTTTTTAAATTTCGCACTCTGAACTTGGTATTGTAATAATGTATTTCTGAAAACTCTTATTGTATGAAATGGACTAAGTATTATAAACTCGCTCTCTTTATTGGATCCTGGATGAAAAACGTGGATTGTTCGAGTTCTTCCTTGGGGTGTGCTCGACGAGACCGTCCAATGTAGCTCCCTTTCGAGGTGCTGAGCGTCTAGTGGAAGACGAGTGGCTCCGAAATCGTGTTATTTCGGGTGGTTCTGCCACACAGTCCCACGCGGTGGCGAACCCGCATGGCACCACCCCGACCCCGACCTTCGGCGGCCGGTCGCCCACGCGGTGGCGATCCCCGGTGGCCACGTCCCGACCTCCGCCATCTACGCTGCAAGCGCTCCGACGGCATACCCACGCATAAGACTAGGGGCAAATCTGACTTGGGCAGGTGCTAGGGCCCACTTGTGCAAGGTAAAGCTGGAATAAACTACTATTTTCAGCTTTACCTAACTCTTGTCTTTATGAGAGAAGAAGAAAAACAGTTTTGTCCATAAAACTATTTTAGATATGAGTATTGACGAGAAAAAACAGCTCACGTTATGACCTTTGCCGAACAGACCCACGATATAGCACCACACCACCAGAGCCAAAAAAAAAAAAAATGCGACAGCAACTTTTGGTCCCGTCTCCCGTGTCAGGCCAAGCACCTATAACACGACAAGAGTCCCCGACGCGATGCGATGAAAGCGGAAAGCCAGCACAACACAATGCGGCCACGCCGTACGCGCGGAAAGTTTCGTTTGCAAAGGATGTTGTGGAGAATAATGACGGATTAGCCCACCCACGGCCACGGGCCACGGCGGCGCACTTATCCGCGCTACTCACAAACGGCTAAAAAGTCCCTGCGCCGCACCGCACGGTGGTAGCGTCCTGTGGGCTGCCGCTTGATTGCCTTGTGTGGACGACGGGCAGGCCGGGCGCGCGAGGGGCGATGAGTGCGAGAGCGTGCCGCCCCGGGGCCACCTCGGGCGCTCGGCTCGCGCTCAACGTCAACGAGATACCGGATGGAATCCGCGGTCCGGCGCGCGCCCGGTCCGAATGCGATAGCAGGTCCACACCACCCCGTGACCCCACCGGCGATTTGCGCGCGGATCACACGCGTTGCGGCAGCCTCCTACTCCCTCTCTCTAACAGTCGAACTGTGGGCTGCATCACTGCGTGCGGGGGCAGCCTCGTCATTTCGCCCGACGCCACTTTATAAACGACCCTTGGTAAACCCTACGGCTAAACCAGCCCACCAAACAGCCCAGGCCACACCGAGCAAGCACGCCCGCGGCCTGCCCGCCCCCGGCCTAGTGCGCACTGTCACCAGCAACCCCCGCCACCTTAGCGCCCGACGGCATGTCCGTCGCCTCCGCCCACCACCTGCGGCCGTCGCTGGCGGGCCCGGCCCGGCGCCCGGGCTGCGCCGCGGCGCCGCGCGTGTCGCTCTGGCCAGCCGGTGCCTCGCCCCCGTATCGCGGCCGCTGCACCGTCGTGGCGGCGGCGGCGCCTGCCGCGGGCGCCGGCGGCGGCGAGGCAGCCTCGGCCCCCGCCGCCGTGTCGGCGGTCGCCCCCGCGGCCGCCGCCAGGGACAAGTAAGCGGACCCCCTTGCCCGCCGAAATGCTGGCTCCGTGTTTCTCAATCTCTCGCGGCGCGCGGGACTGGTGCTGTTTTGTTTGCGCACGCGCCGCCTTGTCTGTTTCTATTTTCTTCTTCTGATGAGGCTGGTCGGGTTTCTGGCGCCAAATGCAGGGTGCGGCGCCACACGATTTCGGTGTTCGTCGGGGACGAGAGCGGCATGATCAACCGGATCGCCGGGGTCTTCGCCAGGAGAGGCTACAACATCGAGTCGCTCGCCGTGGGGCTCAACAAGGACAAGGCCCTCTTCACCATTGTCGTCTCCGGAACCGACAGGGTGCTCAACCAAGTCATTGAGCAGCTCAATAAGCTTGTCAACGTCCTTGCTGTGAGTCCGCCTTCTCAAAATTTAGCAGAGTCACGCGAATCCATACTTGAGTTTGATGTCCCCAATTTGAGCACCCGGTGACAATTCTGTAGTACAGTGAGATTTTGTTCCATGAGTTTAGCTCGCCCGAATCTTCTGTCCTTTTTATTCTGTTATAGGATCGTTTCCACTTTCGTGGAGCATCTTTTGTATAGCTAGACAGAACATGCGTAACTTTTTTCTTTCCTGATTTGGTCATAATCACCTTCAAAGTATTCTTTTCCCTTTCCCCCGGAATCGCTGCCAGCCTGACAGTCATGTCAACGTCAGGGACATACTCCTTTCTAGGGGATATACCTCAAATGCACATCATTATTATACGCCCTGTATTATGTTTATGTAATGCACTTTCTGTTTGTGCACCTGTGCCGTGTATGGTAAACACAGTTGCTTTGGTTAATCATTTGAAGAAAAAATAAGATACTTGACTTCATTATTCTGACTATGTGGTAATACTTATTTAGTTCAATTTTAATGCTACCCTGTACATGTCTATATCCTATAACCTAAAGCAGCCTTTCAGTTAGGAGTTATTCTGAGTTTTCTTTGTTCTTGCGATTTGAAGATGCTGATTTCTTGGGGAAAAGATTTATTGTTCTCTCTGAATGTACTATGCAGATATTACATTGCTTTACTTTCCTTCTGAATTCTTAGCCACAAAAGCTTCATGGATTACCATTCCTTCACTGTTTGTGTCAACTAAACATTTAGATGGTTTTAACTACCATGATATTCTCTCTCTGAAAATTATTTACTACTACTATTTTGTTGCCAACTTGCATTAAGATTAATATCAATTACAGGTCGAAGATTTATCTAAAGAACCTCAGGTTGAAAGAGAGCTGATGCTTATAAAACTAAGCGTTGAACCTGATCAGCGCCCTGAGGTATGATGTAGCGTTGAGTTAGTCTTTGTAATCCAAAAGTTCAATTAACATCCTGTACTCATGATTCTCAATTGCATGGTGAGCCTTACAACGGTGCTTCTTGTCATGATTGACAGGTCATGGTTTTAGTTGATATTTTCAGAGCAAAAGTTGTTGATATATCTGAGAAAACACTTACCATAGAGGTGAAAACTCAATCTCTAACTAGTGTACATATTTTGATTGGTATCCATTTTCCTGTACTGAACTGTATGTTTAATGGGCATTTGACCAATGTTAGGTAGCTGGAGATCCTGGCAAAATTGCTGCAGTGCAGAGGAATCTAAGGAAATTCGGAATCAAAGAAATTTGCAGGACAGGAAAAGTAATTTCTAATGTTCTTTCCTTGCATGGACACATTTTTTTTTCCTGTAATGCTAATTTAATGCCCTATCTTCTTAGATTGCTTTGAGACGTGAAAAAATTGGTGCAACAGCCCGTTTCTGGCAATTTTCTGCTGCTTCTTACCCAGACCTTATAGAGGCATTGCCGAAAAATCCAATTACATCTGTAAATAGGACAGTGAATGGCAGTTTTGATCAACCATCCAATGCTGGGGTATGTAACCTTTTACTTTTAAAACTTTCTAGAATTTTCTTTTTCTTATACCATGTCCTGCTCTGTTTATAATTTTATACTTAGTTTTGGTCGAATGATGCATATAACCAATTTGAGGTGGATACATTAAAGAAAAAACCTGTGATTTCATAATGCCTATTCACTTGAACCAAATGCAGGTGAACTTCTTTGTTAACGGATAAAAGTACCAATAATCATTGGCTGTATTTAAGTAATTACCTGCAGTGATGCTGGCATATTAGTTTTCTGAGTCTAATACGTTTGAACAATTACCTCGAGCCTTGAGAGGGGTTAGTTCACCAGAGTCAATACATTTCCACTGAATGATACTACTTCCAGAAGCTATAAATGCACGGTAATGCAGAATGGTCTTAAAGGCTTTGTTGTTTGGGACTTAAAGGCTTTGTTGTTGTTGTTGTAATGCAGAATGGTCTTATGAATAATCAACTGGTAACTGAATGTACATATTTAGTATTTGCACATATAAAACAGTAGTACTGATGGGCGAGTCGTACAGTACCATGACACCTGGTACATTGAACTTGTGTGAACTGTATGTATTTACTATTGTGTTAATGGGAATGTATTGTTGGGTGATACCCACCATAGTGCACAAACATACATAAATAGTTCACATTTGCTCAATATGTAGTTTGGACTAATACTAATACCATTAATGGTTACAGCATGCTAGTTGTTCAGACTTCCATCGGATGCATTTGATACAATATTACAGTCTACACACTATTCCTGGCTCTTATAACACGTGTTGTTTTGACTTTGGAACTGTCCAGGGTGATGTCTATCCTGTGGAATCTTACGAGAGCTTATCCGCAAACCATGTGCTTGATGCTCATTGGGGTGTTCTGGATGATGATGATGATGTAAGTATAGAGATTTCCATCATGCGATTTTCATTTAGTGCTACATGGACATTGCTGATTTGCTCTGCGCATAATTGCATCCTGAATCTAATTATAATGTGACTGGAGTGTGTTTTCATCTACACTTCCATTATGTTTGCAAGAAGTCAATTTGTAGGCAAAGCCTATCTAGCTTTAAGAAATGGTAATAATGCTTAACCTGCATGTTTATGTACACTGTTGTTATCTTGCAGCTGCTAATCCCAGTATTGATTTTGTGTGGTACAGGCAACTGGACTTCGCTCGCATACCCTCTCCATCCTTGTGAATGACTGTCCTGGTGTCCTCAACATTGTAACAGGAGTCTTTGCTCGCAGGGGCTACAATATACAGGTTTCTTTTTCGAAAAGCTCTTTCTTCTTGTTGAATATAGTGCCAGACTAGTTATTGACAAGTGCATACTTGTCAGAGCCTTGCTGTTGGCCCAGCTGAGAAGGAAGGCATTTCACGTATTACAACAGTTGTTCCTGGTACTGTTGAATCCATTGAGAAGTTAGTTCAGCAGCTTTACAAGCTTGTTGATGTGCATGAAGTAAGCTGCATGTAATTCCTACCAAAATCATTTGTGTTTGCAAATTTATTATGTTAACTAACAAAAACATGTGATTCCTGCAGGTTCATGACATTACCCCCTCACCTTTTGCTGAAAGGGAACTGATGCTTATTAAGGTTTCTGTAAACACTGCTGCTCGGAGGGAAATCCTAGATATTGCCGAAATCTTCCGAGCAAAACCTGTTGATGTTTCTGACCATACAGTAACGCTTCAGGTTGGCATCCTAACAATTTGTGTGTTTCTCCCAGATTTCCATCAGTGCCTTTGCCAACACTGATGATACTAGAGCCAGTTTTAGAAAAAGCGCTGTGCACACTGCACAGCCACAAATTAGATCACATTGCTTTTGTTGATTTTCTGCTGCATAGTGCCGCTTGTGGTAACAATAACAACATCATACCCATATAGAAACACTGAATGTTTGACACCAGTACTATTTTTTCATGCTGCTTCATCTAACTGCTCCAAGCTATTAGCTATTGCAAAACTCCTGCATAATGGATCCCTTATTGATGATTGCAGCTTACTGGAGATTTTGACAAGATGGTTGCACTACAAAGGTTATTGGAGCCATATGGCATCTGCGAGGTATGTTGCTTGTCACTTCACATCAACTTAAGTGTGAAAAGGCAATTTTTGGGTCCTTTGGGATGAATGGACAGGCGTATACTTTTTTATTTGATGCCAGCAGTTGTTTTGTTTTCTTCTGAGATTACTTTTGATTATGAAACAGAATATAAGCAATTGTGCACAATGCCACATGGTTAAATAGTCCTAAATAAAAACTATTCGAAAGTACCCAGTGATTTTCTGTTGCAGCCAATTAGTACCGCCTTTTGCAAACGAGACCATTTCTAAGTTCTGTTAAGACTATAATGAAGCATATTCTAATTTGATTCCTCAGAGAAGCAATTACTGTACTGCTTAAGCTCTGTCATCAGATTTTACACCAAAAAAGATTATTTGATGTTTTGTACACGGTCCTCACCATTGTGTTGCACACATGACAGGTCGCCAGAACTGGACGAGTGGCACTGGTCCGTGAATCGAAGGTCGACTCCAAGTACCTACGCGGCTACTCTCTTCCATTGTAGCCTGGCATTTGTGATGATGGCTGGCCCGATAAAGAGCTTGGTTGGTTGTTATAGAGCAGACCATCTCGCGCTGGGTTGTGTTGTGCAATTACAGGACTTGTTTCTTTTATGTGGTGAACTCCCTGGCCTCCGTGTTCAATAATGTCCTCCCCCCGGTATATGCGCGTTGAGGTTGCATATGTATCCCATAGACGGTCAGAATAAGATGCATAGCGTACCTGTTTACTTCAGCGAAGAGAGATGCAGGCATCGTTCGAAATCAGCTTGCCTGCGTTTTGTCGTGCAGTTCTATTTATATATATACTGTATGGTGATTTCTGATTTGGTGAGAAGCGGAACATGTGGAGTCGTGGACCATCTCCAAATCCACATCCACATCAAACGGGTAGGGTATGGGGAGAAATTATTCTACCCATTAGAAACGGATAGGTTATGGGTAATATCTATATCTATATACCTAATATTAAAAAGTATTTTTTGTTTGGTCCATTCTGTTAGACCCAACCGAGGCAAAATTTCTGCCTTTTTTTCGTCTGGCCCATTCTATTAGACCCAACCGTTCTCACTCGCACGCTTCCGGCCCACTCGCTTGTGTCTAGCTTCTTCTCAATGCCGTCGCTCCTCCCGTCGTTTCTCTCAGTCTTCCGCACGCGACCAGTACGGCATGCGCTGCCGCCTCCCGGCACAGCGTCCTCCCCACCACCGCCTCCCAGCACAGCGCCCTCCCCACTGCCGCCCGCCCGTCTTGCTGCGGCGTTGCGCCACCGATGGCTCCACTCCTCGATGCCCCGAGCTCCGGCGACCCTACACCCCCACGTTCTCGGCAGCTTCGCGCCGAAGCCCGGGCCTAGGCCTTGCTCGCCCCCCGCGGCTCCGCGCCCGTTGTCCTCCACCCAGAGGGAGACACCGCGGGAAGCAACGGAGAGTGGGCGGGCGCTGGTCTCCTACGGCGGCGGAAGTGCTGCCACAGGGGAGGCAGACAGCCAGGTCCCAGTGTAGCGAGTCGGAATCAGAATCCAATCCAACGAAGACACCAGCTCGGATCGGGACACCAGCATAGATCCGGAAAAAAATTCCATGGTAAGTTCAACAAGAACTCCACGTTCAACAGAAACTCCTTCACTTTTTCCCTGTTTATATATAGATTAGAGATTTCGGTTGAAAAAGGTGCCATTGGGATATCATGTTCTCACATGCTTCCAATCTTGATCTTGCCAAGCTGAACAAATTCAGAACCACAAGAACTGTATAAAGATACTTATTCAGGAAATATAATATTTTGCTAACCACAAGAACTGTATAAAGATACTTACGGGCCCATAACTATGAATGAGAAAACAATGAAAATTGGTTAGATGCTATTTGTCTCCTTTGCTTCAGATATGTAGATTGGTATCATAGGCATCTGTATGTAATTTAAGCTGTGCTAATTGCCCAGTGGTTAAATTGCTCTATCTAGGTTAATTTGCTCATATTATCGACAGAGAGTTGATGAAGGTTACAAAGGTTTGGTTTTCTTTGTGCTTTGCATGGAACAAAAATGGTCTACAAGCATTTGGCCACACTGTACTTTGTTTTTATCTTTGATAGCTCTGAGAATGAGGCTGCCATGCTCGATCTCATACAAGGTAATATAATGGTTTATCGATGAAAGGGGAAAGCATTGTCATTTTTCTAAGAAACGAATTATATTCAGTGTGTTATCATGCCATTCACCTGTTTGGTCTGCCTTACTCCATAACCATTTAGCTATTTATTGTGCTTCTTTCAGCATTCAATCACCCTTGCATTCAGTTTTTTATTCTTTTTTTTTTAACATAATAGCAGGAGCTTTGCCTTTCAATTAAGAAGAATTCAGCTTTTTATTTTGTACTAGGTTAATGCCCGTGCGTTGTAACGGAAGCCAAAAGAAATATTATGTTCCGATGATTTTTTCTGGTTGGCACCTAAATTTCTGTCCACTGAATTATGGTTTGAGGTGTTTGTTAAGTGGTCAGCTGCTGTTGCTTGATGTTTGGGATTCATTTGGGTCGTTTTTAAGTTGTAGTCGACCATGTGTGTTATGCATTTTTGACGGGGTTCTCATCAGCGCCGCCAACAACAAGCAGCATGGCGCTGGTATGAATGAAATTAGAGTCAAAACTGACGCTAACAATGGTGCTATCTTCCTGTACTACAACGGAAGCGGTGTCCCTGTCAACATCCACAAAGAGGATATCTACAGACCGGAGGCGGTATTCAGCAGCTACCGCACCAACAACAAGTACAAGGACGTTGTGGTAGCCAATATCTTGTCCACTCTATGCATTGTCCAGACATATGACGGGTACAAAAAGTACAAACAGGTAAGTAGTTTTTCCAAATGGTGTCAATTTTATGTTTTGGATTACTCAAGGTTTAGAAGTGGAGATTCTTTGTGCAAGTTGAATGATAAGAATGTAGGTTTAGTAATAGAATTTCCAGCTATTTAGGGGTTTTTAGTATCTGTCCATAATCTCTGGTCTGGTGTATCAATCATGGTACAATTTTACAGTTGGATATCTGTTTTTTAGTGCTTATACATAATAAAAAGACAGCTAACCAACCAGTTAGATGACGATGATGCCCTTAATCTGAAGTACTTAACTAGTTTTGTACTGGTAAGTGGATGCTAAAGTTGTGAGGAAATTTCGGTAAGGTTTAATAGTAATGGATAAGCCTTTAATTCATTGCTTCACTCGAAAAAGGTTATTTTAATCAAGCTAATTTAAAGCTGAAAAATGGACTTTGATGGCATAGTCAGTGCAAATTCATTATATATGTCTGATGTTACTTCAGAGGAAGAAGGCTAATAAAGTGCAGCAGACCCCTTTTCCAGAGACAGACTTAATGTTCCTTCTTGAATAAAGTGCAGATATTCTTTGAAAACATGGTCAAGAGAAAGAAGGCTGAAATTTCCGATTGGAAGGATAGAAATAAGTGGACCAGTATTACTTTCAAGCCTGATCTTGCAAAGTTCGGTATGTCTAAATTAGATGATGATATTGTTGGCCTCATGAGGAAGAGAGTAGTTGATTTTGCGGGCTTGCTTAGCAACACTGTGACTGTCAAATTGGATGGAGAAAAGCTGCATGTAAATAGCTTCTTAAAATATGTAGATTTGTACATTCACTCAGCTTCCAAGGACATTTTTCAAGCACCCTCAGGCTTATAAAGTTTCTTGTCACATCCACAAATAAAACCTATGTTGTCTCTGATGACATTCTCATTTCTTTCAGGATACATGAGATTGTAAATGACAGGTGGGAGGTATGCGTGTGTCTAAGAGAAGGGCAACAGTTTGAACAGGTAAGTCTGGATTATGTTCCATGCGAGTAGCTTCTCTATTGTGGTTTAAGTGACCTACCTAAATAGTTTTTTTGTTTGTTGCAGATCAGCTTTGTCAACCAGTTTGCAACAACAAGGGGTGGAACTCATGTTGATTATGTGGCTGACAAAATTGCCACCCATGTGGCAGATACAATGAGTCAAAGTAGCAAAGATGCTTCGTTCAAAGCACAAACTGTGAAAAGCCATTTATGGATTTTCATTAATTCTTCCATTGATAACCCGACCTTCGATTCATAGCCCAAAGATAGATTAATAATATCCCCCATTACAAGCTTTGGATCAACGTGAATATCACCCATTACAAGCTTAAAAGCCCTAGTTTGGTTTTGGATAATTGATTAAATCTATGCACTAACCTTTGTCATGAGTGGTGATATGAGCTAGGTTGGTATAATCCAAGTATGAAGCATGGTGGCATTCAAGAGAAGGTGACGATCACATGAAATGATGAGATGGCCACATGTGATGATGATCAAGTGCTCAACTTCGAAAAGAAGAAAGAGAAAAAATAAAACCCTATGGAGATCAAGGCAAAGGTATAAATAGGGGTTTTGTTTCGGTGATCAAGACACTATAGAGAGTGTAATCACATTTATGATAGATGGCCGTACTATTAAGAGGGGTTTTTAACTAGACAATTCGGTCATCTAGTGCAACTAGGTGTTGGACTTCATGCACTGCATTTAGGTCTAATGCACATCGGAGACCAAGCAAAAATATTTGTCGAAAATGTTTTGAGAAATGCTGACTTAGGCTCTAACATGTTTTGAGAAAACACTTTGAGAGCTAGCATCGCTTGCGGGGAGTAGCTCGAGTTGACGAGGATCGAAACGCGAAAAAGTTTGCATCTCGGAGAGCTAGTGGTGGCACCGAGAGCAGCAACTTCGGGGTGATCACTGTGATGAGTACAGGCCCGATCTTTCGAGAGGTAGCCGATAAGTTCGATTTTGTGGAGATCTCGACGTTGGCGATCCGGCTTCAAATCAGACGCGATTCGAACCCTGCAACCGTTACGCCACTGCTCCGTTGGTTATCAATCAAGCACAACTTGATTGACCTCGCCAAGAAGGCTTTTCCTACAAGCGAATCGAAGAGCACAAGCAAGAAGGTAAAACACGCAATCTGAAATTGCAAATATGAATGACGCGAATATCAATAGAGGATTCAAGAACTCGGTTCCAAAGGACTAATCGACACAGTGGAGGAGATCAAGAACGGGGGCCCTGGATCACTGTAAAAGGATTTGTCACCACCGTTATAATGAATGATTCAGTTTCTCGATGGAAAACTAAACTCTAAACAAAACCCAATTGTGTAGCAGCGGCGACGGCTGTGTTTATAGTCTAAGACTCGACCTAGGGTTGGGGACGGCCAGGGGTTGGGCGCCCACAACTTGGGCTTAAGGCCCGACACGATACATGGCCAAGTTGGCCCAAATCGGTGACGCAGCACCTTGCCGTGGTCACACAGAATGATCCACGGACCTTTTGGAGCTAGGACCAGATCCAAAACGACGGTGTCGTCGTCCCCTTTCCAACGCATCCAAGAACGGCATGTTTCGATGTCGTATGAGAAAGTTATGACCGAAACAGTGACGACGTGTCTGCTGAATCCGAGGGTGACGTGGCAGCTGAGTTGGGAACGAATAGCAACTTGGGGAAGACCATGGCGTCGGTGTGTCCAGCATGGCGATGTCCTCATCACACTGCCCCTACCGGTGTACACCGCCACTGGCACGGCGGTGCATCACCGTACGGCGTCTGGTGCCACCGTCACTTTTCGGCAGAGAGCAGAGGCAACCGAGGGGGGGGGGCACCGCCATTGGTGCTGCGGTGAACCGCCCTAATTATCCAGAGAGCAGGGAAAACAGGGGGCTCGGCAAGGTGGTCACCGCCACCCCCATGGCGGTGCCATGCACCGCCCTGTCCAGTGACCGTGTAGAAACCAGCTCCAAGGGGTAACGGCTCTATTTGCTTGTGTGGCTATAAATAGAGGGTGTGGCCAGCCTTGGCCACTCTTTTGACACCTCTTACACTTGTACACACCCTTTGAAAGCTGAGCAACACACTCCACTCACTTGTTCACTTGATTTTATCATCTTGAGTGAGATTGGAGAGTCTCTAGTGCACTGCATTGAGTTGCATCATCTTGTGACACTAGTTGGGTGATTTGGGCTGGTTGTGAGCTTGTTACTCTTGGTGTTTGCCGACACATAGACGGTCTGGTGATTGGAGGATCGTTGAGCGGAGTTGGTGATTGTCTCCGGCCTCGATCGGTTGCTTGTGAGGGGTCATGTGCCTTCCCCGGTGGAGCGCCAAAGGCAACTCTAGTAAATTGCTCGTGTCATTGAGCTACCTCACTTGTGGGTAGGTTCTTGCAGTGCCATTTGTTGGCGAGATTCGTGCAACATCTCTTAGCCACTGAACTACGAAGTGTTGATCGACACAACGGGGACTAGCGTGCCGGTAAGCAAGTGAATCTCGGGAGAAAAATCTTATGTCTTTTGTGTGATTGGATTTCTCTCGGTGATTGGATTGTCTATTTATTGTGATTGGTTCATTCATCGGCCAGCGGTGAATGCGATCACCCTACTCACTCTATTACTTTCTTGCAAACTACTTTTAGCAAGCTCTTTAGTATAGCTAAATTTGTGAGCTTGCTTGGTAGCTTAGATTCATTTAGTGGAGCTCTTTAGTGTGGCCTTGTGGAGAGCTCTTAGTGAGTAGTGACTTAGCCCTTTGTTTGTCTAGAGATCATAGCAACTAGAATTGTTGGATATGCGACTTTGCAACCCTTATAGAGTTAGAGCAAAATTGCATTACGCATGTTTGTCATACTAATCAATTACTCTAGTGTTCTTGTAGATTTTTAAATAGACTATTCACCCTCCTTTAGCCATATTAGGACCTTTCAAAGCTTTGGATAAGCGTGTGAGCTTTACGAGAAGTTTTGGAAAGATGTTACATACATTCACTTTGGTAGTCTTAGATTGTGTGACTTGGATGCACTAATGATCACTTCTTCTAGCTGTAGTTGAAAACCTCGGCAAGGTCTTCCTCCATTCTAATTTGAAAATAAGCAAGGAGCATGTGGAAGGCCGATGGTGGAGAAGTCCAAAGTCCTTTGCCATCTAGAAGCTCGAGGATGCGCTCTGTCTTTGGTACCAAGGACTCCCATAAGTGCACCTAATTCTAGCAAGAAGGGGTTCAGGCCAAGACCCTTCTTTGTGAGTAATACAACCTTGTTTAATGCGATATTGCATTTTTACTACAAAATTGAACAAATTTGAGCCTTTACCTGGCGATGGCTGGTCTATACGAAGTCGGGGAGTGATTACTTTGGAATATATCCTCTAAAGGGCAAAGTATCAAATATTAGGAATGCAAATCCTTAGGTCATGGGAAATAGTGAACTACATAACATAATGAAAATTCTTGGTTTACAATATAGGAAGGAGTATAATAGCACAGAAGGGTTAAGATATGGTATGCTGACGGTATGGGAAGGAGTATGATAGCATAGAAGGGTTAAGATACGAACAAGGTAAGATACGGACAACTTATGATAATGGCCGATCAAGTTTGTGAGAAATTCTAACGATGTTCCGTATTATTCATATTTTCTCTAATGTTACTCATTTATTTATTTGTTTATATTTCAGGATGATGAGGGTGCTCACATTAAAGAATTGCTGATAAATTTTATTCATTCTTATTAGCCATCACTTCTTAAGCTTTCTTTCTTGTCAGATTTTATCACTCCAATTATGAAGATAGGGTAGCAGTCGACATGCATCTTTTTTGTATTAACAATGTTTATTCGTGATTTTATTCTTATTTTGGTTTGAAAGAGTTATTATAATTTTTATATCCATATTTTGTGAATTTGCTTTGGTTGGTGCATTGATAATTGAATTCTTGTCTGGGCAGCGAATATATCGAGGATGAAGTGTGCTACCGTTTTACACCAAGGCAGCTTACGATGAATGGAAAGCATGTGTTAGGATGATCCAAGTGATTTGTGGTCTATAAAATACTACATTGTTTGATTCTGATTTCTTCTAATCTTGACTCACAATTTCCATATGATATAGTCATTAGTTGAGAAGTCTGTTAGTTTTTTGGTTAATAGAATCGTGATTGACAATAGGGGCTTGGAACAAGCACAGTTGAAGAAGAGGGCAATATTTTAAGTATATCGGCAATCATAGGAGAAATTTTATATAAGTTGATGAGGAGTATTCTTGATCTTGGGATCTGAGAAGATAAGCACTCACTCCATTAGTGGAGAGGTATATATAGACACTCATATGGGTCATATGCCCATACATGCAAATAGTAGATGAGTCTTCACTTAAAAAAAAAAGTCCACCTTGCTTTCTTCAACTCTTTGAAAGTCGATTTTTTTCTCACGAACTCTAAAATCGGTAAATCACCTCCACGAACTTTTAAAACCGTTTGTTTTACGTTTGTTTTACCTTCTTGACCGATTATAAGTGGTTATCAAAGGTGGTTTTTTTTTTTTCTTTTTTATTTATTTTGGTGAATCTTTAAAATTATAGTAAATCATAAAAAAATCATAAAATTAAAAATACAATTTTGTTGGACTCGACATGAGTAGATCTATAAGTGAACATATAATATGATATGCTTTAATATAAATTTTTTTGTTGTATTTTTAGATTTATGCTTTTATGTAATTAATTTATAGTTGCTGATTTTTATGGTCCATTGTGGTGAAATTTTATGGTGGGCTAACTATTGTAGTGCCATAGTTCAAGCATACAATAGTTAGACTACCATAAAAATTTCACCACAATGGATCATAAAGCTCGCAACTATAAATTAATTACATAAAAGCATAAATCTAAAAATACAATAAAAAAATTTATACTAAAGCATATCATATTATATGTTCACTCTATAGATCTACTCATGTCGAGTCCAACAAAATTGTATTTTTAATTTTATGATTTTTTTGTGATTTACTACAATTTTTAAAGATTCAGCCAAAATAAATAAAAATAAAAAAAATAAAACAACCTTTGATAACCACTTATAACCGGTCAAGAAGGTAAAACAAACGTAAAACAAATGGTTTTAAAAGTTCAGGGAGGTGATTTACCTGATTTTAGAGTTCAGAGAGGAAAAGCAGACTTTCGTAAAAGTTGAAGAAAGTAAGATGGACTTTTTCCTTAAGTGAAGACTCATCTACTATTGTCATGTATGGGCATATGACCCATATGAGTGTCTATATATACCTCTCGACTAATGGAGTGAGTGCTTATCTTCTCAGATCCCAAGATCAGTAACACTCCTCATCAACTTATATAAAATTTCTCCTATGATTGCTGATATACTTAAAATATTGCCCCTCTTCTTCAACTGTGCTTGTTCCAAGCCCCTATTGTCAATCACGATTCTATTAACCAAAAAACTAACAGACTTCTCAACTAATGACTATATCATATGGAAATTGTGAGTCAAGATTAGAAGAAATCAGAATCAAACAATGTAGTATTTTATAGACCACAAATCACTTGGATCATCCTAACACATACTTTCCATTCATCGAAGTCATTTTTGGTGTAAAACGGTAGCACACATTCGTCTCCTCTCGATATTCGTTGTTTAGACAAGAATTCAATTATCAAGCTGACCAACCAAAGCAAATTCACAAAATATGGATATAAAATTATAATAACTCTTTCAAACTGAAAATAAGAATAAAATCACGAATAAACATTGTTAATACAAAAAAGATGCATGTCGATCGCTACCCTATCTTCATAATTGGAGTGATAAAATCTGACAAGAAAGAAAGCTTAAGAAGTGATGGCTAATAAGAATGAATAAAATTTATCGCTAATTCTTTAATGTGAGCACCTCATCATCCCGAAATATAAACAAATAAATAAATGAGTAACATTAGAGAAAATATGAATAATACGGAACATCGTTAGAATTTCTCACAAACTTGATCGGCCATTATCATAAGTTGTCCGTGATCTTACCTTGTCCGTATATCTTAACCCTTCTATGCTATCATACTCCTTCCCATACCGTCAAGATACCATATCTTAACCCTTCTCGTTAGCTATTATACTCCTTCCTATATTGTAAACCAAGAATTTTCATTATGTTATGTAGTTCACTATTTCCCATGACCTAAGGATTTGCATTCCTAATATTTGATACTTTGCCCTTTAGAGGATATATTCCAAAGTAATCACTCCTGACTTCAGATAGACCAGCCATCAGCAGGGTAAAGGCTCAAATTTGTTCAATTTTGTAGTAAAAATGCAATATCGCATTAAACAAGGTTGTATTACTCACAGCAAGGGTCTTGGCTGAACCCCCTTCGGTTAGAATTAGGGTGCACTTATGGGAGTCCTTGGTACCAGCACAGAGCGCATCCTCGAGCTTCTAGATGGCAGTGACCTTGGACTTCTCCAGTCCATCAGTTTCCACATGCTCCTTGCTTATTTTCAAATTAGAATGGAGGAAGACCTTGCCGAGGTTTTCAACTACAGTTAGAAGAAGTGATCATTAGTGCGCATCCAAGTCACACAATCTAAGACTACCAAAGTGAACAGAACAGAACATCTTTCCAAAACTTCTCAGAAAGCTCACACGTTTATCCAAAGCTTTGAAAGGTCCTAATATGGCTAAAGGAGGGTGAATAGTCTATTTAAAAATCTACAAGAACACTAGAGTAATTGATTAGTATGACAAACGGCGTAATACAATTTTGCTCTAACTCTATAAGGGTTGCAAGCCGCATATCCAACAATTCTAGTTGCTATGATCTCTAGACAAACAAGGGTCTAAGTCACTACTCACTAAGAGCTCTCGACAAGGCCACACTAAAGAGCTCCACTAAATGAATCTAAGCTACCAAGCAAGCTCACAAATTTAGCTATACTAAAGAGCTTGCTAAAAGTAGTTTGCAAGAAAGTAATAGAGTGAGTAGGGTGATCGTACCACCGCGTCGATGAATGAACCAATCACAATAAATAGACAATCCAATCACCGAGAGAAATCCAATCACACAAAAGACATAAGATTTTTCTTCTGAGGTTCACTTGCTTACCGGCACGCTAGTCCCCGTTGTGTCGATCAACACTTCGTAGTTCAGTGGCTAAGAGATGTTGCACGAATCTCGCCAACAAATGGCACCGCAAGAACCTACCCACAAGTGAGGTAGCTCAATGACACGAGCAATTTACTAGAGTTGCCTTTGGCACTCCACCGGGGAAGGCACATGACCCCTCACAAGCAACCGATCGAGGCCGGAGACAATCACCAACTCCGCTCAACGATCCTCCAATCACCAGACCGTCTATGTGTCGGCAAACACCAAGAGTAACAAGCTCACAACCAACCCAAATCACCCAACTAGTGTCACAAGATGATGCAACTCAATGCAGTGCACTAGAGACTCCAATTTCACTCAAGATGATGAAATCAAGTGAACAAGTGAGTGGAGTGTGTTGCTCAGCTTCCAAAGGGTATGTACAAGTGTAAGAGGTGCCAAAAGAGTGGCCAAGGCTGGCCACACCCTCTATTTATAGCCACACAAGCAAATAGAGCCGTTACCCCTTGGAGCTGGTTTCTACACGGTCACTGGACAGGGCGGTGCATGGCACCGCCATGGGGGTGGTGGTGACCACCTAGCCGAGCCCCCTGTTTTCCCTGCTCTCTGGAGGCCGGGCGGGCGCGTGCGCGGCGTGGCAGGGCGGCGGCGGGCAGGGTGCTGGCGGCGGCGGCGTTCGGGAGGGCGGGCAGAGCAAGGTGCGTGCGGGCGGGCGAGCTCGCACGTGGTATATATATGGTCCTGCCGCGCCACAGATCAGGGCTTGCACTGCCGCGCCAAAGTCGGTGGCGCGGCAGGACCTGCCACGTCAGCGGTCCCCCAGGCCGGCCCTCGCCACGTCAGCCCTATGCCGCGCCACCATGCATGGCGCGGCACAGACATTTGGCCGCGCCAGGGTAATAGGCGCAGGCAAAAGTGTTAGTTTTTTAAAAAAACCTACAGTGTTAGATTTAAAATTATATTAAAAAAGGGTTAAAATTAAAAAAAAAATCGAAGTGGAGGGGGTGGCCAATGGGTTGGCCGTTGCACGGGACGAAACAAACGAGCGCGGGCCAGGCCTACTGGGCTTCCGACCGACTCAGAGGCCCTATCCCTATCTACGGGGTGGCCACTGGCCAGTGGCCTGCCAAGCCAATGCAATGCAGCCCAGGAGTGGAGAAGGAGGGCGTGGCACTGGCACCCGATTCCGGGTCGGAAGGTACGGCGAGGTAAGCGAAGAAGCATCCAGACTTGCTCGAGGAGGCAGGGCAGGGTAGGGCCGGGGCGGGCGGCGATCCGAATCCAATCGCCGGAGGGAGGAAGCCACCGGTGGCCGCAGGGAGGGCGGCGGCGGTAGAGGCCGAGGGATGACGCGAGGGAAGCAGAAGATCGACGCGCAGCGGCGTAACGCGGAGCGGAACCAGAAATCCAAGGGGTCCCAGCTCGAGGCCCGCGCCGTCGGCCTCAAGGTCGTCTGCCCCATCTGCAAGGTACGTAAGCCGGAGCCCCTCTCCGATCGCTAGCCATCGCCTGGACCTGGTGGGTTTGCCTGGGCAGCAGATCCGGCCAATTTGTCCAACTTTGCCCGCATGCATCACAGCGCACCGACTTATAAAGACCAAAGTTATTCAACTTTTGGCAGGGACTGCTCTGCAGAGTATCCATCCATCTAGCGCCTCACTTTATCTGGAAAGTTTTGTGCCAGCAAATTGAAATGGCCCTGCTGCATACTATATACCATCAGTATTGCTCTAACCTCCTTAATCAGCCAGTTTGTAGGCCAATCATTGACACATGTTGTTCCAGCGTACTCATATTGTTCTTTGTTGCCTTGATTGTGACCGGTTAGTAGTGATACTAGGCATCGTGACTAGAATGAGAGATTGAGAGTACTCGAAGTGGAATCTACTGTCCAGTGTGTCTGACACTTTACCACACCACAGATAAAGCTAGTGCTACAAAGAAGTGGCCACATAACCTTCTCCTAGCATGATTTGATCTCACGAGTACAAGACTTTCATCACCTTTTTTTCCCAAAAAGCGGAGCCAATACTTTAGAAAGAATTCCCTGCTGTGGAACCTTTTGTGGGTTCGTCTAAACATGGTTTAGCTCTACTGTCTCATTACCCAGTACTTTCTTCATATGGTAACTCAAGGTTACTATCAGCGGCGGAGGGTGAAGTAGAACCGGGGGGTGGTGGGGGGGAGCAATTTACGTGAACATATAGTCAAAGTGTATTAAAAAAAGCTTCAAGAATTGCTAAGACCAGGAATATACAACTAATGTGAAGAGAGAGGTGTACTTTTTTTTTCTCGAATACGCAAGAGCATTGTGTATCATTGTATTAAGAAGATAGAAGTTTTAAAAATACAAAAGAGGCCGTTCCCGGCCCGACTGATATCTCCAGGGGCTACATTTTGGCTAAGACATCCATGGGATCCATTGGGATCAACCTAAACTACGTGCGGGCCTATGGCGCCATGGCCGAAGACCAGCGAGCTGCTCCACTAGTCATCGCCCTGGATGCTGGGAACAACTCGTCGAGAGCCTCGATGTCTGCTGCCGAAAGGTTGCCCTTGAAGTAGGAGTCGTACGAGCGCTTGGCCGCAGAGGAACTCGGCGCTGAAGGTGCCATGAACCCCATCTTCTTCATGAGCAGAACTTCGCCGCGTTTGGACGCCGAGATAACTTTGATCCTTGCATGCATGGTAACATGCAGATGCATTGGTAAAGTAACATGCATGTATTGAGAAACTTCACACGGCAGGGGGGCCGGAGCCCAGTTTGGCCGCTACTAGGCAACGCCCCTGGTTACTATTGGCTCTCGTCTTCTATATTTTATGAATTCCTTTTAACAACGGAGTAAAGCTGTGGGTTCATTATGTGGATGCTCTACTTTTTACCTGGCTAGTTGCATTTGAGGAACATATCTGCTCACTGGGCGTCGCTATTTCCGTAGGTACAATTGGCAAATGAAAAACAGCTGACCGATCACTACGGATCAAAGCATCCAAAGGAGAAACCTCCAAGCACATCGAACACGGAATAACCATTACTGGTTGTGATGCAGGATCTTTAAGTCTGAGGATCTTTAAGTCTGATCCATGCCTTGGACCTTAACGCCAGTTATTATACTCTATAGTGTGTTTATTTCCTCTTGTTTCAGGCAACACCCTTAAGATGAGTGCGCATTTCTGCTAGTATGTTGTGCTATCGTACTGCAGATGTATCTCCAAACTGTATGTGATCGCCATGGAACTGGGATGATGCGAAAAATTTATGATCATAACCATGTTCCAATGTTTGTGGCTTTTTACAACATGGTTTGTGCCAGTGCGTTCCCTACTCCGCCGGATCCTAATGGCCGTGCCCTGCTGTTTGATCGGCGCCGTGCTTCAGTTGGTATCTCCAAATGAATGAAATGAGGAAAATGAGCTCGTCGACCCCAAACAAGGAAGGCTTCTCTGACTCCGACGGAGCAGATGGATCATTCTTAAACGGCCAATGCCATTAGCAGCAGAATCAGTGAACTGGCATCGTGGCAAAGTCGCTATCACTATCGACAGGACAAGTGTATTTGCACGTCACCAATGCCACGATTAACTCATGCTGTAATATTTTGTGGAAATAAAACGTGCTTATATATTCTTCTTCTCATGCTGTAACATTTTGAGGAAATAAAACTCATGCTGTAACATTTTGAGGAAATAAAACGTGCTTATATATTCTTCCTCTTCTCATTTTTACAAAGTTCCTTTGTTTTGTACTTGACGAGTATAAAAAGGGTTAGGACAACATATAATTTCACTTGCAAGGACTATAGTTGGTAAATTCCCAGTTTACCACATGGCACGGTATCATTCTCCAATACAAGGTGATTGGTGAAGTATCACGAATGCTGCTTGTCTGCTTGATGACGGACGTTTTCTTTTGGAGAGGCTGCAAAGTCTTTTTTCGGTAGTTGTTTGGTTACCGTTGGAATGCTAACTTTGATCTTCAACATGTTCGCTTGTTGGTTTCAGTCAGCCAACAGTGTTTTTCTCTCAAAACAACCAGCACCAGCCAGCCTAAACCAGCACCAGCACCAACCAGCGAACAGGCCCTTGTGTGCTGTTTGGTTCTACAGCAGGTAACGCAAACAAAAATAATTTAAGCCTGCAAACGAAAATAATTTAAGCCTGCAAACGTTACCGGCCGCAGATACAAATGAACTAATTTGATTACATTTGCGTTACTGTGCAAGTTACCAAACAGCACCTTGGTGTACAACAAGTTTTGTAACCTCCCTAATAACGAAGAGAGAAGAGAGAAAGGTGCTCTCAAGCAGCAGCTGACTGCTGTTGGTCTTATTAACACAATCGAACACGCGTTGCAGCAAGCTACGACACTCGCCGCCGGTGCACAAACTGATGAGCAGAAAACATGCAAACCAAAGGTACCAATGTTGAGAGCTACACGACGCTGATGGAGAAGGGGAACGAGACGAGGTACAGGAAGATGTAAATCAAGATGCACACCCGGTCCTCGATGTTCACCAGAAAGCAGGCGTCTCTGGTGGCTGGTGCAGCAGGATTGCCGACGTGAGCCTTCAAGTTCTGGCAGGCTGTGCAAAGAACTTCTGAATTGGGGATTCAGAAAATTGTTCTGGCAACTGATGCGACTTCAGTAGTTCAAGCAGTGACCTCTACAATCGCTGATTGTAGCTCAGCTTGTGGTTTGATCTGGGAACTCAAGGATGCATTAACTTCTAATTTTGTGTCAAAAATTGTAGCATATAACTCTCGGTCATGCAATCCAGTAGCGCATGCTTTAGCGAGTTTAGGTGCTAGTCTTGATTCAGACATGAACTCGATCAGGGATTCTATCCCGGCTTGTATCCAGGTGTTGGTTGCCAATGATTTGGCACCGGTTGATGAGTAATGGAGTCTGCTTGCATGTAAAAAAAATGTTCTGGATTGGCCTGCCCAACTCTCGAGGAATTCGTTCAGAATATCAGATATCCCATTTGGAATTTCAGACATCAATATTAATCAGCTACCAATGGCCAAAAAAGAGCAATCAAGACGAACACAAAAGAGCCTCTCTCGCTTTTTTCCCTTCTTGTTTACCAAGCGTTTGCTTGGGGCGTGGTCTCAGCAGTATTTCACAATAACAAAAAAGGGGAGGCGACAAATGCAGATCAACAAGGCTGCTGAACTACATCGCAGTAAGGTTGGTCAAAATGAGAATCGGTGGCAGGTATTTACACCGTGTTCGCCTCGGAGCCCCTGACCTTACTTATCACAGTGGCTGTACCATGATAGAATGTGAAGGTCAACGTATGCAGTTAGGGTACCGGATTTTCGGATGCCCTGACCTTATCACCGTGGCTATACCATGATAGAATGCGATGTCCAAGGTCTGCAGTCAGGTACCAGAGGTTCGGATGTTTTTGGAGAACTTGGTACAGTCAAATGGTCCAACATCTTGCGCTTTCCGTTTAACCTGCAGTGATTTGCAATGAAAAGCTGTTACATTATACACTGAATGAATGTTTCGTAAGGAAGTCATTCATCGGTTGAGCTAATTTTGTTCTTGGTAAGGTGACCTTCGCATCTATCAATCTATTCAAATAGTTTCAGATTACTGTGAATACAAATTGTCGATTTTAACATGAGAATTTTTTGTTGGTATAAATGTACTGCACATGAAACATCATGGCTTACTGAACAATGAAGTTCCACTCCTGTGTTTTGAGAAACTATATTTCAAATTTGAAATTTTGCAAGAGCATTACCGGCGACCAAGGACTGGGTTCTGGAGCTGTTTTGTCAGGAGGAGAATTTTGCACAGCACCAGTCTTTTGTTCCAAAACTTCCTGACAAGAATGTATCACACTCAGCTCAGTGACAAAAAAAGGAATTTGCAAGCTGCTAAATGCTACCACTAGTATTCTATGCTCAGCTAGTCAGTTGCTGGGAAAAATATAAGACTGAATGATCTGTACAGTTAGATTTATTGATTCAGTTCCTTGTTCCTAAATATTATGGCTCATTGCCATGGACTGCTAGTAACCATATAATGCAGCAAAACCCAGGAAATATGGAAAGCCTTTTGCTAGTGCCAGGAGAATGGATTAGTGGCATGCAGCCAAATATAAAAAGCAAAGGCCAAAAACTGGAAACCTGACTTGTGCTGCCTGTACTAAAGGATTGTAAAGAAATTAGCATGGTAGCAAGTTATGAAAATAAAGGGGAAAAAGAACCCATAGACTACACTTGTTAACAAGTCACAATAGCATGTACTTTACTACTTCTATTAGGTAGCTAGGTATGCAGACCTGCCCACGAGCCTCCATTACAGCAAGCCATTCTTCTGTAAATGGTACCAAGTTCTTCAGATGATCTTTAAGGATTGTATTTGCTGGTGATAAGTCTGGTGCCTTGTTCTTTCTGTAAAAGATGAGAATGAAACATTATAAATGCAGTTGCAAGTCAACTGAATGTATGCAGTCAAATATTAAACAGACATACTCTATATGTGGTGCATCCTGTATAGCTGACAATCTGTCTGTGTCAAGCACCATTTTTTCTTCAATATTTGGTTCTACTAATAAAGCATGCCGTCTTTCCACACAAGGTGTAGAAGCTTCCAATTTCATAGGAGAACAATCTGTGGTCCTATAAATGTGAATACGCCCACACCTCACATCTAACAAAGGAGTTGCCTTTATATCTAATGTACTGTTTGTTTCAAGCTCCATTTCACCTTCAGTATTTGGTTCTTCTGACAAAGCTGGTTTAGCTTCATCACACAAAGAATCATTCAAATCTGAATGACTGTCAGCTAGGGTTGGCGTTTCATCTCTTAAACTGCCACAATGTGGCAACTGATCTGCACATATTGTAGATAATGATTCCATTAGCATAGGACATTCAATATTCTGGTGATCAAAGGAATAAAATCCTTGCAACAAATCAAGAGTTGGAGTGCAACTGCTACCTTTCAACAAAGAAGCTCCAAGTGCAGTCTCTCCAACATTAGAGTTTTCCAAGTCAATTGCTGCACTGGAATCACTGTCTGACTTGCCTTGATAACTAAGCTCACTAGAGGAGCATACTTCAGAAGAAATGCAAGAGGGTGACAATTTACTCCCTACAATAGGTTTGGTTGAGGAATAACTGGCTTGAAGAGGTAACGAATCCTCAACAGGTTCAATGGTTGAGGAACAAATAGCTTCAAGAGAGTCGGAATTATCAAGAGGTTCAATCTCTCTGATACCGCCCCTTCCTTCTACATGCGATGTCTCATTGTACACAACTGGCAGTGGCACACTATTTCTGGCATCATCATTCTTTTCTAAATTCATTGGCTGCGGAGTAGTAGTAGCTCCAGTTCCTGCCAATGAGAAATCAGACTTTGGCCTTGCTTGATTATTTACATTTCCAGGTTTTTCTATGTATGTAGTAATAACTTTTGACAACGATTCCTTTTCTGGAATCACCAAAGATTTGAGATTGCTCTCTCTAGTCACAGGTGGCACAAGATTGGAAGCAGCAGTGCAATTGGTTGACAGCTGCTTTGTTAGGTGGGGTCTGCTTTCCTCAGACTGCCTGTATCTGGGTGGTTTATCAAGCGCTGAAGTATTTGAAGAGAAGCACCTCCCCACGTTTCTTTTAGCTGCATCACCGTGTGACACAAGCGCTTTTTCCTGAACAGATCAGTCAATCAATCATATTTGACAAATGAACCCTCACAGGAAAATATAAAACAAAACACAAGTGTAAAACCAACAGACTCAAAGTTACAGAATAAGATATTACGAATAAAAAATACACCAAGAATAGTGCAAGAGTGAGCATGATAGGCCATAGGGCGCATGGATTTACATATATTGATCCCCTAGGGACTCTGTTTCCGATAGTGATACAAGATTACAACAAATGAACAGATTGATATGAACTAATGAAAGAGTCCCAACAGCTATATCTGGAGAGGGTAGAAAGGAAAGCAATCTTAGGTACCTAATAGGCTAATATACAATATGTTGACAAATACAAAACAGTTTTTCAGGTAACTTTCATATCATACTATGTGTTTGCACAATTAATCAACTATGCATAACTATGTAACATTCAATAATTAAATCTCCACATGTACCAGGCCTCATATTTTCCCATACATTTGATAAGAACTTAGCCCAGAATCACACATTTGTTTATTTCTCAAATTTGCTATCAAGCCAGCTTATCATTATATTTTTTAGAAAATAGGAAATGCACCAATGCATTACACCACAACAAATAAGGCAATGTTCTAAAAATAGAAGGACATAATAGACTACCTGATTGAAAAAACCAACTGAAGGTGAAGGCATTCGAAGTGCTGATGGCTTAGCAAATTTTGACGCAGTGCTATCAAAGGGGCTGGATGGACTAATTTGTGGGTGTGGTGGAATTTTTTTGCATTTCACAGAAGCACTGGCTTCTTCACGTACTCCAGTAACAGCAGGCACCTGCAAAAGAAAACAGTTTGTTTAGGAACACTATTAAATATTGATTGACAAAAGATGCAGGCAGATTGGACAAGTGGGGATGCAGACCATATCAGTTATGATGAATTGAATATATAACTCACCGCATCCTTCTCTATGCTAGGTCCAGAAGATACAGAATTGATCTTCAATCTAGTAGGCAATCCAGTTACTCTGTGAACTAGCTCAGCTTTAACTGAAAAAATAGCAGTATATTGCATCAGACAGCTAGTAACAACACATGAGTGCCAAGAGCTAAGTCAAATAAACATACTTTATCACTGGGAAATCCTGCATGGTCTGGTAAAATAGAATTCCAGAGTTCGCCAGAAACCCAGTTTCTTTAGGGCATATACAAAGATTACCTGGAGCTATTTTTTTGTGTGATTCCAAACTGTTTGTCGCAGATGAAGTACTTCTTGGAACCTTAGGAAGAGAAGGTCGTGATTGCTTTGGTATTCTTGACATCTGAGCTGTAGAAGCAGATGAGTTTGGTACTTTCTTCTGTGTATATCTAAGTTAAGACTAACAACATTTGTAGTGATGAATGAATACTTAAACTTGTGGCAACGTATGGACAAATAAGTCAACCCTACTGTTATCAAGGGAAAAACACTAAGGCCTGCTCAACCCTGCCTAAAACTTCGTTAGGATATATAGATCCTGCTGGTACTCTTGGTGAGCATATTTGGATGCTTCTTGCAGAGCTTCTGTTTTGTGTTACCTGCAATTGGTTGGGCAGAAAACAGCAATGTTATTGGATGATTGTAAGTGCTACAACCATAACAAGTAAACTGTGTCTTTAAAAGAAACAAGTAAAGAAAGTGTTGAGTGATGAACTGACAGCAGGTTCTTTCTGTTTGTCCCTCTGAGGAGTTTTTGCTGAAGAAAACAATTTCCTTCCCTGGCTTTCTGCCCTGTGATATCTTGCAGGCAATTTTCCATGTGAATTCTCTGCAGCTTCCTTCCGTACATATGTGTTACCATATCTCCCTGACTGACACGATGGGGACATTATACTACTGACCCCTGAGCCAGGGCTCCTATTTGCCATCGGTTGGGAGCCAGTAAGCACAGAAAGCTCCGAATTATCCAAAACACCTACAAAGTTCATTGATGTTACTATTAAACCAGATCCAGGACAAACCAAAGCGCAGAGTTGACGAAGAAGAACCATACCTTCTTCAGTGAAAAAAGCAGGGTTCCAGGCAATGCTTTTCCTCAAGTTGAAACCTGCAGGCTTCTTCTTCCACCTTGTAGAGGCAGACCCTTCTTTAGGCAAGGTTGCAAAATCCAAGGGAGCATCTCCATCTTGAGAAATATTCTCTTTGTTGCCTGTGTTTATGTGTGGCAATAATGAATATATATTTAAGATTAGGATGGTATCCCTGAGTTCATGGTATAAAGTGGGCACAACCTATTGAACTGAACTTTGTAAGTTAGCAAGCATGGGCCTGTGGGAGCAGGAGAGCACTGCATCTAAAAGTATGCGAAACCGTGTTTTTCGCACTATAACAGTGGCAGGGAAGCACACTGGCACAGACCTAAACAAGGTCAAGCGCATTGGACTGGATTAGCCACTGACGCAGAACCCAAGTGCCAGGCATCTTGTGAATCCCAGCGAGTAAACCAGAGACCACAAGTCACTAGACCCGAAGAAATTAAGCGCCATCCATGCAAAGAAATGTAACAACTACTGGGGCTGGAGCAGGAAAACCCTAGCAAATTTGGGGTACAGAAGCGAAGACGGAGAGATTGGTGGAGAAAGAGCGCCTCACCGGATCCGGCAGGCACGGAGGGAATGCGGCGCGGCGACGCCATGCGCGTATCTGAGGCCCCGTTTGAGATTTTGGGATCCGGAGGACGGAGGAGGTAGGGGAGAGGGAGACGGTGCTATGGGCCCCGAGAGGCCAAGACGGTTTGGTTTGAATCGTTTGAAACGGAAACGCGAGGCAGCGGGAGCTGCGGGATTTGTTGTTTTTTTTATCCCTCATCACGTGAGGTTTGGATCATTGGATTTGGATGGAGAGCTTTTAAAGCATCGTATCTCCATGTTTCTTAAAATCTATCGTAATCCTCATGTGCTTCCGCCGCTTAAAAAATTGTGATATGTTCAAATATACTTTTTGTCTTGACTCTTGAAATTTTTTAAATGTCGTCGAATCTATAATTTTCATATAATTTTTTTCATTTAATTCAAAAAAATATGATGTGATATGACTAATATATCTTAGTTCAAAAATCATAATATTTTTTTTTTTTATGAATTAAATGAAAAAAAATTATATGAAAATTATAGATCTCTATCGAGATCTACAATTTTCTATATAATTTTTTCATTTAAGTCGTTAAGATGCTCAAAAATATGATTTAATATATTTGAATATATCTTAGAAAAATCATTATTTTTTGCGGAATTAAATGAAGCTTTGATATATTTTAACGCCCAAATCTAAACCGATTTGAAGTGGCATGGAGGACAACGAAAAGTTGAAGTAGTATTATCAAGACCATTGAAAATTTTTCAAAGGCACAAGTGGATTACGATCTTTTATAATGGCACATGTGAAAAGTCTCATTTGATGCCAATGCCATACGGATTTGGGATCCCTGTGAATTTGGGAATTTAAAAACAGAAATGCTATACAATATACATATATTTTAGCGGAAAAAAACACATAGATTTTCTTATCTCTTTTATCCTCCATTTCGCTAACGCCATGCATAACGTGCGACTCGACGTCACTTGCAGCCTTGAAACCAAGCGTTAACGTTGGCATGCACAGGGGATGAGAAGATCGATCCAATCCGGCCAAGAGCTCTGACGTCGCTTCGACAACGTGCAGCTCTTTTTCCTCTGTTGTGATTTGTTCTTCTATAGAAAAAAAATATTTTTTATCTGTGAATCTGTGATATTATGATTTGTGATTGTCTGAAGATAGAAGAAAGCTAAAGGCTAGAGGTAGAAGGAAGGTGGAGGCTGTTAGATCTTAATTCTATGGTGTAAAAAAAATCATGTGTTGAAATCACGTAAAACACATGGTTGTTGGGTAGACAGACTCGAAAATGAATATACTCCACGCGTTGCCGCTGGCCGTTTGTGTCTTTCTTCATCCCAAATTATAACACATCTGACTTTTTTGACCTTAAGTTTAACCACTCGTCTTATTTAAAAAATTTATGCAAACATAGTCAAATTTAAATCATTATTAAAGAATTTTTATTAATAAAGCAAATCACGACAAAATAAGTGATATTTTGCATAAATTTTTTAATAAGACGAGTGGTCAAACTTACGGTCAAAAAAGTCGAACATTTTAAAATTTGAGATGAAGTACATGACTTCAGGGAATTTCTTCATTGCATGGATCACAGGTATAAAAGGAACGTGAAAAAATGAAATAGCAAAAATCTATTGCTAGTAAGATGGAATTCTACTCCTAAAAACAGATGGAATTATAATAAGTATATAGAAATATTTAATGATATTTTGTACATATGATGGATGGTGGCATCATTACGAGAACACCATGTGAGGACCCTTCCTCGTAATCCTTGTGTCGAGGAAAGAATGCAAATACGAGTTCCGTGTCAATAAAAATAGTTTATGTTTGATCTAACTACTAGTAAATACTATTTATATTTATAGCTTTAAATTAATTTATTATAAAAATATATTTCATAATTAATCTAATAATATTTATTTGATATTATAAATATTAATATTTTTAAATTTATAATTGATCAAACTTAAGATACTAAACCATGACACTGTGCTAGAATTATATTCTCTGTTGTCACATATTCTTTATCATGAATCATGTGCCGTAGTACAAAGATGATTCATTGATTCACAACCTTTTCAGAGACTGGGTCTACAGACCCGGACGGAGACATAGCGAACTCGTTTTCCTCCTCGAAAGCGCCAGTCCAGATCCAGTCGGCCCCCTCTCTCCTGCCTCTGGCGAGCTCGCCGGAGAAGGCTGGGAGCCCCCCCCCCCTTTCTAGTATCGTTCTTCTTCTCAGCAGATCTCTTCTTCAACATCCTAATTTCCACCGTCACCGCCTCCGTTGAGATCTGCTCCCGTTCGATCCACGTCCTTCGCCGCTCGCATCCATCACCATACAGCAACCTCCGGTCATCGTGCTATCTTCTTCAGCAAGGCGGCTCCTCTTCTGGTGTTGGTTCGTCGACTCCGCCTCCACCTGGGATCCTGGTTTGAGCTTCCTCTCCAAGCTCCAGCGACGACTTCAATAGCATCCTTCGGTCATCGCCGTGCTACTCCACCGATAGCTCAACCGACCCACCTTTAACCGGCGCTTTGCGCGATCAATCCATCCGGGTGCATACGTCCTTGACGCCCCTGCGGCCCCCCGCCGGCGGACTCGTCTTCCCCATCGTCGTCGATTTTGCAGCCTTCTCATCCAGCTGCAGGACTTTGATGTATTTTGGTCTTCTACGGAGGACCTCCTTGTAAAACGACTATTGTGATAATATAATATATCTTTATTGTTGTAAAAAAAAAGATGATTCGTTGATTCCAGCCGAGTTTTTGTTATGAATCACATCTCTGCCCTCGCGGCCAGTGGCACTACCACCTACTCCCTCCGTACTCGTAAAGAAAGTCGTTTTGGACAGCGATACGGTCTCCAAAACACAACTTTAACTTCTTGTTTCTATAAAAATATTTATCAAAAAGTGATATATGTATACTTTTATGAAAGTATTTTTCAAGACAAATCTATTCATATAATTTTCACATTTTCAAACTCAACAACTTGAGAGTTATTCATGATTTATATTCCCAAGGTTTGACTCAAACCTGGTCCTAAACGAGTTCCTTTACGAGTATGCCAACGGCGTTCCTCGCTAGCCTGCCACTCCATTTGCCAAACTTGTCGCCCTGAATGTGCATCCCATCCTTGAGCACATCCCTGCAAAACCGTTCGTCAATTGGAGCAAGGATGCAGGAGATATAGACGCCGCCGTGCTCACTGTTGTTGCTGTCCTCCACGTCGATCCAGTAGCGCTGCCGCCGACGGTAACAACGTTCCCCGACAATCCGTCACCCGTTGCCATGCCTGTCATCAAGAAAGTGCATCATAACCTTGGACACGCTCCTACAAACCAGTTCGGCCATTGGATTCATTGTGCTTGAGATATGGACGTCACTCTGCTCACTGCTGATGCTAGCCACGTATTCAGCCTCGTCGCCACCAGTGGCATCCGCGTTCTCCGGTGATCAGAGCCTCGAGTTGTCAAACCCTTTCACCACAACGTGCAACTCATCCTTGGACATATGTATGCAAGTTGGATCAGCCATAGGATTTGCGACGCAAAAGATATCATTGTCGCTGTGCTCAGTGCTCCTGCTGTGAGGACTAATGACAGCCGTGCAGTGCTGCCTTGTGCTCGCGTTCCCGGTAATCTGGCACTCCAATCATCAATCCATTTTATCACAAAGTAGTAAATACCCATGCACATGTACCTATGAAGTGGTTTGGCCATTGTTTCCGATGCACCATAGATATTCATGTCATCCTGCTCCCGCTGCGCTCACAGCCGCCCAGTCCTGTTTTGCGCCTGCGTTCCCCGGTGATATAACTATCCAATCACCATGCCCTTTGGCAGGCATATATATACACTAATCTTGCACACGTTTTGCCAGAGATATCAATGTTATCATGCTCGCTGCCCTCCGCCGTGCGTGTCCAGAATACACTGATGTTCCAATCACGTTTCCCATCCAACCATTGATGTTATCATGCACCGTTTTGCATGTGACGCCGTGTTTAGTTGCAAAAAAAAGTTCCAAAAAAGTGTTACAGTATCTATCACATCGAATCTTGCGATACATGCATGAAGCATTAAATGTAGATGAAAAAAAACTAATTACACAGTTTGGTGGAAAATTATGAGACAAACGTTTTGAGCCTAATTAGTCTATGATTGAACACTAATTGCTAAATAAAAACGAAAATGTTACAGTAGCCAAATTCCAACTTTCCTCTCGACTAAACCAGGACTGAGTGCATACAATAGTTGAAGACAACCTTGTAATCTGTGCTACGCATTGGGGTTGCAGAACCCCGTTGTTTGGTGATCACTGTGCTTGTTGCTCACTTCTCGGTCGACCGACACCTTCAACGCATGCCTTAAAAATCTATTTATGAGGTATCCTCCTCTGTCTTGATATGTGAGTTTTTTTTTTTGTAGATCTAGATAATCTCTAGCTTCCAGGATCTGTCGGGTTTTCTCGGCCATTCCTTTAATCATGGTAACTAAATCTCTTAATTATCAGTAGAAAAATCATATCTAACCCTATATTTATAGTTTACTAAACTGTCTAGCTTTTGAAAATTTAGCCAAACATTCCTAATTATGAAGACTTTATCAGGGCAACATATCATATGCAAACCAACCAACTTATACAAACTTGAAAACTACCAATCAGGACCACTGGATGCTGATCCAATGGATAGGGTGAGGGGGCTTAAGCACAAAAAAAAAGGACGACGGGTGAGGGGCTTAAGAATAAAAAAATCCCACCTCTCACCCCATTCATTGGATCAGCATCCAGTGGTCCTGATTGGTAATTTTCAAGTTTACACAGGTTAGTTGGTTTGCACATGATACGTTGCTCTTTATCATAGGCTTGGATGCTATCTGTCAGCAATCTATTGTTTGTATCCTAATCTATTCTGAAGAGAATCAATTATTACATGTTCGGACTGGAATAATGGTTGCTTCAGAAGACCATTCGTGCGTTATTATGATATCTAGTGATTTTATTGAAAATTGTGGTGGACGTAAAATTAAG